AAATAAAATCAATATAATATATATTATTTATATTATATATATATTATATATATAATATATTATATATTATATATTATATATATAATATAATTATATATATAAATTGTGAAATTTTTATATTATATTATATATATAATATAATATAAAAATTTCACAACAGTTTTATTATAATATACATTAATATACATTATCATAAAACTGTTGTGAAATTTTTATATATTCGATATTTTTCCATATTTTGATATAACAAATATAGCATTCGATTAAAAAAAAAACAAAATGTAGCTCTTTAAACCATGCAACTCTTGTACACCAAATTTTTTCGTGCAATGCATATTTTGTAAGTTATAGAGGTGTACAAGTTGCGTGAACCACCCTGTATATAAACATCGTTTATATATAACGACTCTTATATAACAAATAAGTACTGCAACACTGTTAGATAATCGAGGAGATTTTTATTATAGAGCGATTGTAAAATCTCGATCCATTTTAACTAAATGTAGTTACCGCTCGGCGGATAAGGTTAGATTGCGGATCTTCGTTTCAAATCAAAATTTTCTGCACCAATTATAAGAAACAGGAACCAAGTACAAGTAGAAATGGTTGACTTTCTCTAATCTTCGGACTGCCGACCGTTCCGCAGACATACAGAAGACCGATACTGGTTCGAATTATCGTTTACACATCTGTAGAACAACAAAACTCAGAAACAGAAGCATGCAAGTGAATGATCCAATGTTACTCCCCCCCCCCCATTGATTAATATTACTGTGCAACTAATTTTCTGATTCTTTTTTAAAATTCGTTACCCAGCAGACTATACTTCAACACGTAAAGTGATTTTTCCAAAAGTAATTTTTCTTCATTATCTTCACTTTGTGAAAGAAAAATTTCGAACAAGTTAGTCACTTTCTTTAGAATTTGTCTACCCTAGTTGCAAATAGAGCGATTCCGTAAACAACTCAAGAATTTCATAAAATTGAAGTATTTCATTTAATAAAATTAAAATAAATTGTATGGCATCAATAACCTATTTTACAAATTCAATTCTTAAATTGTTGTTAATATAATCGTTGGTACTCTTTTAAAAAAAAAACGATTGAATAAATTTCGATTCATTCGAGTCTACATTACAACAAAAACGACAAGAAGTCCAGTCGAATTCGATCTTGACATTCTCGCGAAGCAGCGCGCGTTATTCACTTTTAGAACTCGGTAGATTTAGCGTGAATAAAATTAAGAAATTATATTAGATCAGAAATTAATTTTCAAATCTGAGTAAATAATTCCGTTATCTACTGATTTTTCCATTTGGTGCGCCATGGTTAAAAAGAATGAAAACAGGCTATACCCTTTGTCTAAGGACTGTTATCTCCGGTCCCTGGTTTCACGTGCTGAATAAGACAAGATAAAGACAATTACCTCTCCGTGTATCTCGACGAAACAGATGTTGACCTGACGGTGGTCGGTCGAAAAGTCGTAGAGCCGGTGCTATAATGCGTGACGGTACTTTGCCTGGTTGGAGGCAGATCATCCAGTGTCGATCTAAGACTTTGACTAGGCGTAACTGGATTCACGGAGCTCGGTGGCAACTTCAATTCACCTTTCTTTATCTTCTCCACGATCGAGTCGACGTCACTTCCCTCTTTCTCGGCGTTCCCTTTCACACCCTGGACTTTATAGCTGCCATCCGGTTGTTCCTCCAACACCACGAAGGTGACCTTCTTAGCCGGTAGACTCTGAATCGGCGCCTTCCCGATCTCCTCCAACTTCCCGTCGCTCTTCTGCCTGATCACTTCGAAATCAGCGCCGGGTGGAAGCACGCCCTTCGTCAGCTCCTCGAGAATAGCTTTCGGGGGCTTGATGGTGGTCGTCGAAGTAGCCAAGGTCGACGACAAGGTAGTAGCTTGAGACGAGACGGCTGTAGAGAGGCCAGCGGGTGCGTCGATCAGCTGAATCTTCTTCCCGTTCGGAAGCACGATGTCCCTCGTGCTGACATTTCGCGCGTCGTCGTCCACGGATTGAGCTAGTGCCAGCTTCAGCTGCTTCAGCAGGCCTTCTCTCTCCGTACCTAAATAAGATCTGCTCCTCGTGCTCGCAGGCTTCTCCGTCGCTGGTTTCTCGGTCTGATAGATAACCTTGATCTGAGGCTTAGGCTTCCCTTGCTGGACCAGCTGGCTTTCTTGCTCTTGAATCAGGCTCAAGAGATTCTCCGGGATGCTGGACGACGACACTTTCGTCGATTGAGTCCTAGGAGCGACGGTTGCGACGAACGGCGCCTTGGTGGTGGTTATCAGAGAAGTTGGTATGGGCGTCGTCGTGGAGAACTTCTTCTGATGGGTTGCGATAGCTTTGAGAAACAGTTCTGTCTCGGATGGCGTGATCTTCCTCGCGGTTGGCAAGGACACCAGAACTGGAGACGCGGTGGTGCTGATGGAGATCGTGCTAGGGGATGTCAGGGGAACTGGTGCCGGAGTCGTCGACGTCAGCTTCTGAAGCTGCTGAATCCTCAGAAGCTCCTGTTGCTTCCTTAGCTCCTGTTGTTCCAGCAACAGTTGCTGTCTCTGCTTCTGCAACAACTCCAGTTCTCGTTGCTTCTCCAGATACTCCTGCAGTTGAACTGTTTGTTGGTCGCTGAACAGCGGCTGAGACAGGTCCTGCTGGAGATTCTGGAATTGCTTGTTGCTTTCTGTGAACTGACCGCCTGAGAATTGTTGCTGGAACTGTTTGTTCGATTGAGACGGAAACTGCGGCTGCGAGTTTCCAAGGTAATTGGCGTTGTTCAGCTGCTGCGTTATCTTCAGCTGCTGTTGCTGTATCAGCTGCTGCACCTGTTGCTGTTGTTGGAGCAGCTGTTGGATCTGCTGCTGCTTCGCGCGGTCCACTTTATATTTGGAGAGAGCCGAGTAACTGGCAGGGACTTCCTGTTGAGGCCGACGATAGCGTTGCTGGTGTTGCTGCACGTCGCTCAGGATTTGGGCCTGCTGCGACGCCGAGAGACGCGGCCGCGGGTCGAGGGATGGCCGACTCTGAAATTTCGATACATTCGAATTATGTTCGAAAGTGTTGTTACAAGAGGGCGGATTTCTATGCAAAATAAAAATGTTCTGCAGCTAAAACATGAGAGCCAATTAGAAACATGTTTCTTTCTTTAATCATTTTATTAGAACGAAAACGATGCAACGGTACTCTTTAATTCTTGTAATCTCTATATTCTTTCAAATTGCGCGTACTTATTTTTGTTATAAATGCATAAAATTTGCAGTCTAGTTATTGTCTCGGAATTTAGCATTTACAAGCTATTACCGTAAATGAAAATTCATTGACTTTTTGACGTTTCATCTTGCAAATCGTAGAGAATATATTAATCTTGAAAATTAAAATTCCATTCTTATTTTTATTAACACTGGTAATTTTCTTACAGTTACACAATTGTACAATGTAGCTTATTACGAATTGTAGCTCTTCTGAATTAGGAAAAAATAATTCCTTGCCATATTTTGACGTGTCTGACACATGATTAAGATTTCTAGTAATAACCTGTTAAATATGAATGCTATTCCGTCATCTTCAGGCTGAATAAAATTCTGATTTCTTGTCATCAGTATTTAAATATTTAAGCAAATGTAGGCACACTATAAATATAAATTATCTTTCTTCTCCTTAGAAATTATTACAATCGAAAAACTTCTAATCATTGTAACTATAAAGTCACTGTTGCGTCGATTTTAGCGCTGTTTTAACTGTAATATATTTCTACACGAGAAAAATAATTTACTTTCATTGAATGCAAACCTTTACTTTGACGTTTCAATATTGACAATAGAAGAGCAGAATTTTAATTTCTGTTTAAAAATCGTGAATAACATCCACATGTAGTGTATTATCATCCATATCTTTACAACAAATCTGACACGATGTTATAGGGCAAGGGGTTAAAATTTATCATAAAGATTATTAACTTGCGAAAATGTGTGAAAAATTGCCGTCTAGCATCTGTAGATTATAAAGTACAATCCGAGGTACTTAATAATGTTGGTAAAAGATATTTAAATAGGACGGAGAATGTTTATCTGAGTACGTCTATTGTACAAATGTAATAAATAATTTTACTCTTAATGCACTGTTCACAGTTAGTTCATTGTATCCGTTGAACAATTCTTTGCAAATGATGCACTGAATGTATCCTTCATCAAAGTAATTTTGTATGTTGAACCAAATCGGACAAAATTCTCATTAATATTGAAATGTCTACGTTCGTATAAAAACACGTGGTGTACGTTTCCATAAACCGTTACCTCTGTGCAGTTGTACCAGAAATTTGTTCTCACACTAAAATAAATAAAGATATCTCGTCTTCATGTTACAAATCTATCTCAGAAAATCTGGTCACTGTTTTTCGTTAATAACTCGTACACAAAGCCACGGATTGTATTTTCGTTAAGGAAAAAGTTACTTCAAATGACGTCAGGATCCCCCCGTTTCCGGATTACGAGACATTTTTGGGACACCTTGTATAGAATAATCGTATCTCCTCTTTCCAAATTCTCCATTTTCGTGCACAATCTGAATGCGAATTGGGGAGAAATTACTGTACTTGGATATAATTTCAGTAGAAGAGAAAGATAGTTTTCAGAAAAGAGAAGAACTCTAACTACATCAGTTTTACGAATTCCTGTATCGCATATACGTTGAAATGCGAATGAATGTTGACCCATGAAAATCTGTAAAATATCGATATTTTTATACTTTTCATTAATTGCGATTCCGAAATATAAACATATTTTTACTTGAATGTGTTTTACATAGTTCCCAGCAGAGTTTCAGATGTTTATTTCTGTGGTTGCAAAGAAGAACGCCGCATGCCACATGTTTTCATATTCGAGATATTGTCGCCTAATGCTCTGATCACTAATGCTTCAAATTGCATAACTTTTGCAAGCTTGTGGCATTTATTTTCGTGATTTTTTTTCTGATTATTATATTTATTATATATTTTTTCATATTTTTTCTATATATATTTTTTATATTTATTATTATTTTTTTATAATATATTATTATATATTATATTATATTATATTTATATTATCATATATATTATATTATATTTATATTATCATATATATTATATTTTATATTCTCATATTATATTATATTATATTATAATATTATTATATACTATTATATATTATTCTGATTAGTTCAATTAACGCATTAACTGAAATTGTTTGAAATCGTTACTTGCGGCGTTTTTCCTCATAGGCACAAATTTAACGAAAAGCATCAATGAGGAAAAGGCATCTGCTGGAACTTGTGTTACCAGGTTTTAATTGAAATTCGAGGTCGTCGAACGAATTATTATTCGAAGACGCTGTGAAATGAAAACCACGAGCAGTTAGACTTTCTCGAATCCGAAGAGATTGTCTCACAGCCTCGGTAGACTCCGGATTGGGAAGGGAGAGAGAACAATGCCTCGGTTAATTACGACGATCTTAATTGCTTCGGACTGTTTTTCTCTCTCAAGCAAAGTTAATCATTAACTCATGGTCGCGAACAACTCGTCAAATTTTTCTTACAATAATTATCTAATCTACCATTGCTGATTGTTTGACGTATAACTCACGTTTAATCCACT